ACCTCGTGGCCGTAACATAGATAGACTTGAACGAAGTTCCTACTACGGCGACGGCGCCAACGATGACGAAGACGAAGACGACGACGATGATGAGCATAATATGTGGGAAACCTTATTCACAACAATAACACCAGACGATAATCTCCCCAGCTTCGAATCCTCATTTACCTCTGCCACGGCATCCGCCTCCACAGCACCCACCCGCAGCTCAGCCAACTCCTCACAAACAACACTCCCCTCGTCAATTGGTGTCGCTAACCCGACCCGCCTCTTTATCCCCCTCGAATCATTCGCCGATCAGGGCAACCACTGCGATTTCCTCTCCTCGTCCGAAGGCTCAGATACAGAGCCTGAGTCAGACATGGAGCGCGATCCCGCACGTGCTCGTGTGGCTTATCGTCATCGTTATCAACCCCGTCGCCCAAGTCCGCTCCCAACAACAACAACAACAACGTCAGCGATATCATCGTCATTGCTATCGATATCGACGCTGCCATCGCGGGAGGATAGTAGCCAACAGCAGCAACGAGAGTCTCGACAACATCAACAGCAACAATCCAACACTCCCACGGAAACGGACTCGTCAACACCAACTCCATCCTCATTTAATGTCTCCTTCGGCCAGAGTAATGTCCTGGAAGATCTTCATCAGGTCCAAGCTATCATTGACCGGCTGTCGCGGAGACAGGATATTCCGGATGAATGGTGGGCAGCTGTGGGTTTATCGAGGAATTTGGGTCGTGGTGTTACTGATGTCCCTGCTCGAAGTGGTAGTAGTGGTAATACCAATACCAATACCAATACCAATGCTTCTTGAAAGAGCAAGGAGGGGATGGTTGTGATGTTTCCTTTTTTTTTCTCTTCTTCCTCTTCTTTCTCATATGAAACAAAATATAGTTTGCAAGTTTATGATGGATGCACGCATTAAAGCTGGGTATCGAGTTTTATTAAGAGTTCTCTGCTGCCATTTCTTTTCATTCTTTTAAAATCTTACTCAGTTCTGAGAACATCAATTCCTCACATTCTCATATAAAAGAAATTTTCTGTTGTGTTTTCGTCCTTCTGTACCTCCATGTATTATCAGATGACTGGTTTTTAGTTTACTTCTTTTGAGTCAAATATGTTTTTGTTCTTGTTCTTGCTCCTATTCATCTTTATTTTATATTTTATCTTCTCTTTTATTTTTTATTGTAAGAATTCATGAAGAATACATGAAAAGTAGCTCTTTGTATTTTGCTTCTAATTTTTAAATCCTGTTTAGTTATTCTTTCTACACTTGCTTCTTAATTTATGCTGTGAAAGTCTCTTGTACAGAGCACGACTTTCTACTGTGTGCCATGTTGTTACCTTCAGTGTTCCCTTTTTCTCTTTTCCTTTTTTCTCTAATTAATAGAGTACAAAACAATTAATTATGTATGATGTCTCTTTTCTTCTTTGCTTCTCTTCTTCCTCCTTCTCATTCTTCTCCAACTTTTTCGAAATGAATTGTTATATCCATGTTTCGACCCTACCAATGTGGCTCCCTTTCTATATGATGTAGTGATGATAATGACATTTCCCAATTCCATTCATGATATGTAACCTATTCATCCATATTTACAATTCTCTAACGTATATTTTGAAGAGACGACTTTAAAGTTGAGATTCAGAGGGTTTGACGGAATTCGACAAAGCGTTGATGTAGGCGCTGGTCCGTGCATCGCCGTCCATCGATCGGTTTATCACTTCATGCCGAGTGGGAGGATCAAACCGGATAACTTTTAAGGCTATATTTTAGACTTTATTTAGGTTGTGGACCTGCATGTGTTGTAGGAGTAGTTGACTTTATCCTCGATGAGAAGTGAGATTACTTGGTAACCAAAGCACATGAGATTGTCAGGCTGTAGCCTGCAGGTATATTTGTATCGGATAGTGCACGTAACATGTTACCTGCCTGCTTTCTTATCTCGTTCATGCTTCTCTAGATAATCCCATTCGACTAATTGACGCGAATGCCTGTGGTATCCCTATCTTCGAACACACGTCTGCCCTCAATAGGATACTGGTCTCCAAAATCACCAGACTCAGCAACGATGCAATTTTGCTGGTGCAATTCACCAGTGCAATAGGATAGACACGTTACGGAGATTTGCTGATTTTTTCTTCAATCAAATGATCTGTAGAATTCTGACATATCTCCCAGGTTAAGCCATCACTTCTTTTGTTATATCGCCGCCGATTATAGGAAGAGGAATAAATGACATTTTGCTAAGAGAATAAATAGTTTGTGACAAAGTTGCGATATCAGACAGAAAGATCTGCAGGGATAAATTTTTATCCTAAAGAAGGAAATACATAGTTAAATATAAACTTTGTTCTGTCCCACATGACTAAATACAGAATCAAAGACCAAGGTAAGACGGGGAGTAAACAAACTCCATTTAGATGCAACGCTTTCAGGTAACTAACTGACAGTAGATAAGTAGGCATCCAGCACCCCCCTGTTCACAAATTTTGTGATATTCAGGCATGTTTGTTCACTTTGTCCTTATTATAGTCCTCTGATGTCATCAGGGCAGAACATGTTCACAACAAGCAAAGTGACTCCATGTCCACTGCAACATCTATGCTGGCGATCTTCCACAGACATCAGGAGTTGAACGGGACACTTTAATTTTGATGCGGAAGATGAGAGAACACACCACCGGGCTCAAATCTAACTACAAATATGGAAAAAAAAAAATAAAAAAAAAAATAAAAATAAAAATAAAAAAAAGGGAAAAAAAAGGAATGAAAAAATTTGGAAAGCCTCCCAAGTAGGTGGGCCTCACAGGCTTACCTTGTAAGATTTTCGAAACGTTGGGCAATATTTCCTACTTACAAGGACGACACGCTTCTTACTTCCTTAACTATACGGTTAAATTGCTCATTCAAATTCGTTCATCCGAATTCGATTAAGAGATTAGTAGTAGTTAAGATTTGAGTCAACCCTCTAAATAGGACCAGAGCCGACTGTAGATTCTAGGAAAAATCATGCCAATTATTCGTTTTTCTTGATTGCTAGCAAATTAGTTGTAATTCGGTTCCGCTAATTATAAGATCTTTGAACCCGACCCATTCGATAAACTTAACTACTGCCACGTTGAACTGTTGAAGGACTCTCAGAAAGAGTGCTTTGGGTCTTGCAACATTCCAAGATTGCTTGATAAGTCCTAGGCCGATGTCACCTCAGCCAAATATTATCCGAGCTTAGCCTCCTCTTGACATACTCGCACCCATGCACTAGGCAGTGAGCGCAAACGAGGCTCATGGCTAGCTACGACCCTGCGAGGACGGTGTGTCGAAAGACAAGCGAAGGGGCTTTTGATTGAGAACGTCGTCGAAGAATGACAATGAGGCTTTGGAGAAATTTATATGATTCGCGTTGGTTTTCTCCCCCCTGTAAATTGTGCTTTTCTAACCTTTTTTGTTGCTGTATAAATTTGCCTTGCATGACCTGATAGTAGGTGTTATTATCATATCAAATTCCTCCTTTAAACTTTTCTATCGAGGAACTGAACAGAACATACTACAGGAGTAGAATCAATACCTACTTTACGGACAATCATGATTAAAATCGCATTTATCACGCTGTCTCTGGCGGTATTGGGCATGGCAGCCTCATCTACAGCTGCTGAGCCTGTGACAGCTACAACAACTGGCCCTGTCACTGTCTTTACCATCATGATTCCCGGTGTCACTCCAACTCCCAGCCAGGCATCTATCATCGGCGTTGTACGTATACTCTATTACATCATTTGGTCACCTTTTCAGTTCGCGTCTTCCAGAACTCTCACCTACAGAGTCAATGGAAAATCAAATAACTAAACATCTTCCTTTCTCATAGGGCAAAGACGCCATTACATTTGGAATAGATGTTGCAGGCTGTGTCAAGGATCTAGTAGGCAATAGGTGCCAAGAAATTGAGGGTCTTGACTCCATAACAATTATACAAGGCCCGAAAACATACTCGCAAAACATCGTTGTTTCTGAAATGTGAGGAACCCCTCTATGGTTCTCGGTCATTTGCGTCCCCAATCTCCTAAATCCAAAATGGACAAATAAATTTACACAAGGCGCTTTCTTTTTCATACCTTCGTACTAACTTTTTTGATTCCAGAACTGTTGATGCCGCCTGCTCTCTTGACGGAACAGTCCTAGCCGATTGCACATTAAAAATGAACTCAGCCAAGACAAAAGCCTCTATCACAACGAAACTGACTGGAAAAGATTTGGAAAACGCTTTCGGCCCGGTCACGGTTACAGCTGGTCAAGAGAAGTTGCAAGGCACCCCAAGCGCGGGTAAGGGACCAAATGCTGGGCCGAGAGCCGCTGAAAATGCCAATTGGGCCATTGGTGGTGCGGCTGCGGCGGTTGCGATTGCTGCAGTTTTGTAGAAGAGATGAGAGAATGAGATGATTTAATATGTTGGAACTATCTTTGAATTTTGTTTTCTCCCCCCCACCCCCGGCCACCCCCTCTTTTTTTTTTAACCTGGCAACAGATTTTTTTTTATATTGCCAGATGATTGGCTCATTTGTGTGATACCCTTGTTGGTTTGATTGGGTCTTTTTTAAGTTGTCAACTTTGATCATTCACTGGAATCAATAGAAATGGTATTTCATTTCAAGAAATACTTGCCCTATCGATGTTCAGTAGCTGTGAATGCAAGACATGATCTTCGATGACGCCACGGTGAGAAGCTCCTTCGTTGCCTTCTGATAAGCTTGGCTTTTCTCAGATTGTGGCAAATAATAGCAGTAATTCTCACAGCTGGTCAGCGCAGTCCTAGGCATATTTGCCAGAAGATTTGCATTGTAAGACATCAATTCATGTGGATAGCTGGGTTGTGCTTCTGGTAAAATACACTCAACATGTCACCAGACAAATGCCAATCGAAATCAATATTCATAGGATTAAAACGCCCATCACATTAGTTGTCACCATCAGGCCCAATATATCAAAAAATAAAAGAATCGAGAGACGTCTGAAAAAAGCCTAGGGATATTTTAGGTTTTGCCGACACATGAAAGCAAAGTCCTTAGTTCGGGTCAGAGATTTCGGCCCGACAGTAGCTCCGCTTTCCGAACCTCCAAATTTCGGTTTGCCCCACATTCTCCAAGCCCGGGATTTCCTGCAACGGAGGCTCTCCTCTGAGTTTCAGGGGCCGGAGGTACATACGGGATGCCTGCCACTTATTTGTAATACCGTATATCATACCTCTTAAAAATCCCATCGTTTACTTCCTAGTTGTTTAACTAACTGAGTTCTGATTTTGTTTTCCTCTTAGTTATATTACAAGCATCAATACTATCACTGTTCAGGTGACACTTATCCAACTATACGAAATACACCCTTCTACAAAGAATAATAGCCAAATGAGAATATGGAAGAGCAGGTCAGAAGGCTCGTGGACAAGGCATGGGGTAAGGGCCGCTACTGCACAGTTAATCTGTTATATAAATGCCATGTCAATGCAGATGAGGGGTTCCGTTTTCCCATTCTGCAATACATCAGTCTCTCAGGAATTAATATATCTCCCTAACAAATGATATCTCCCTTGTCCACAGCCAAATTCAAATCCATCCCACCTTCCGCCCGTCTCATGATCGCCATCAGCGGAATCCCTGGCTCCGGCAAAACCTCTCTGGCAACCGTCATGGCTGAGCGGGTAAATCAACTTTACTCTACGATTACCCCAGGCACATCCACACCGGTTTCAACGGCAGTCTCAATGGACGGCTACCACCTCTCCCGCGCCCAGCTTGCCGCGATGCCAGAGCCCGCTTACGCAACCGCCAGACGGGGCGCAGCCTTCACATTTGACCCCGTGAAATTCCTACGATTAGTGCGTGCGTTGCGGGAACCGCTGACTCCTGACTCGCCGACACTCTATGCGCCAAGTTTCGACCATGCAGTTAAAGATCCCGTGGAAGACGATGTGGCCATCCCGCCAACGACGCGGGTGATATTTTTCGAAGGGAATTATCTGAGTCTTGATAAAGAGCCGTGGAATGAGGCGGCGGGTTTGATGGATGAGTTGTGGTTTGTTGAGGTGGAGTTCGAGACGGCGCGGAAGAGGTTAGTTGCGAGACATGTAAAGGCGGGGATTGCGAGGGATGAGGAGGAGGCGGATCGGAGGGCTAGGGAGAATGATTTGCTTAATGGCAGGGAGATTGTGGATTTTCGGATGGAGGTTCAGGAGATTATTGTTAGTCAGGAGGATGAGGGGTGGAAGGTCTAAATGGCTATAGGGAAAGAGGTGTAAGGTGGGCTAAGGGGGGTTAATGATTTGATATTTTTCTTTATTCAATCTCTTTTGTATTTGTTTCTGCTTTTTAGGAAGATGAAAATCTTGATCAGATTCATAGATGGATTGTCTCACAGAATAGAAATGAAAAATATACTGTTATTCACCAGCAATCGAGCTCTTTTTTAAGGCAGGCCATGATAGAAACTTTCAGTATATATGTACCTGGCTATGTTCAGTATGTAAGTCATTGCTTTGGTTATTCATCGTTTAAGCATTCTCATTTGTCTGCCTTATTCTGATATCCACTGCCTTCAATCACAGATATTGTCCGTAGGGTTTCGGAACAATACAAACAAGTCAAAATTAAGTAGAGCTCTGGGTCCCTGAACCAAAAAAGGGAAGGAAGCTAAACCATAACCAGTTAGTCTATCCGCCTCCAGTATTTCCACTCGATGCGACTATTCCTAATTTGGGGTTGCAGGGCTTTTGACAGGAACAAACCTTGCACCCAAGAATAATACTTGTTGCCATCCCTTCTTCAACTTCAGCACTGTTCAACAAACTTCCAAGGTTCCCTTTTTCCCGGACGCTCCTTTTTTCTCTCTGCGTTTTCATTGAACGCAGTCCACTCCTTTCCATATCAAATACCTCACTCACTCAATTACACTCCTTTATTATTTTCATTTCTCATTCTCTCTGCCGTGCAGCCTCGAGTTTGTGACAAAATCAAGACATTCCCTCGGATTCATCGAATTAATTTCGGTTTCGAAACACGTCACCGACCCCGGTTAACAGTGCCATACACCGCCAAAATGCTTGCTGCGAAATCTATTTTCGTCGTTGCGCTATTGGCGCTGTTCAATATCGTCTTTGCCATCCCTCCAGGATGTCTTATCAGCGCCGTCAAGTACGTTGTGTCCAAACTCTCCGCCCAAATTCCCCACGAGGAAAAGCAAAGGGAGCGACTAAAAGAAAATATATATATATATATAAACTGAAAGAAAATTTACATTTGGAAATAATTACACCGTTGTTAATTGATCCGTAGCACCCAAAAGGACCCAGCTGACCTTAAGTCGGTCTGCGCCAACAAGAACGTCCAAAAGGAGATCCTTCGTCTCTGTCCCGACAACAAGGTCAAGGAAGCCCTAAACTCCTTTTCCACCTCCTGCGCCGAGGCTGGCCATAAAGTTTGTAAGTGTTGGCTCTCCCGCGCGTTATTTAAACACAATAATACAAATTGACTGATGGGACTCTTATTGCAGCTCTCATCGACACCAGCTCCAAACCAACCGGATCTCAGTCTACCTCCGCTCCAACGGGAGCCACTGGCAGCGGAAGCGGCAGCGGAGGCCCCGACGGCAAGGGCAGCAGCACCACCTCGGGTGGCTCTGGTGCCTCCCCAACCGGTTCTGGCGCTGGATATGTACACAAGGTTGACTCTATGGCTGTCACAGCTATCGTCGCGTTTGTGGGATTTGTCTCTGCATTGTAAGATGGTGGTGGCACGGTTTGTCCCAGCAACCTCCGACACAAGTTCCAGCCTTTCGTTTTACACATCGATATGAGGGGATGGTCGTATGGTTTGTTATAGACGAGGTTAAGTCGTGCGATTGTTTTTTATTTTGTCCATTTTTCCCCCCAACAATCTACATCCGAGATTCCCCATCTTGTATCATCTATACATCTATGTTAGTTGATTTATGTCGTTAGCTCGGGTGTTGCATATAGGTATTCTGCCATTGTAGCCATTCGAGTAAAACTCGCAGGATATTTTATATTTCTTCTTATTTTTGCCGTTCTATCTGTTCTCTAGTTCCCTGGAATATTCATGAACTCTTAATCGTACTGGTGGTCATTCATGGAATTTTTTAAGCTCTTTGCTCTCAAATCGTTCGCTTTAACATTCTCTAAAAAATGTCAATAAACCTCTTCCTCAGCTACAAACCCCCAGTCACTCCCACAATAGATAAAATAGCCAGAGTGTGTATGTGCTGGGCCTATTAAAGGGATGCACTGTCGTCCATTTCATAATTGGTTATCAAATTCCTGTGACCTTTGTCACGTGATCTCCCGCCTCCCTACCGGTTAAGCCTTGGACACACGCCTGCAGATCACGTCTCCCTTTCCAAGCCTCGAAAACGCGTCTTTGGCTTAAAGCAAAGTCTTCCTCACCACCTCGTCTCTTTTCCCCACTTCCAATTCTCATTTCTTCTTCCTCTCTTCTTCATCACCATCCTCCATTAATTTTTCTCTTCTGTCCCTCATAAAAACTGCTGTCTTCATTAATTCGTGTTCTTCATTTGACATCTTAACCCATTTTGCCTCCTCTCTTCCCGTTTCTTTTTTGCGGTACTAGAGATTTTCCAACTACGGAGGATCTTCATTGCCTTGAGACGATTCAATAGAGAATTTATTTCAAGATGTTTGTCTACAAGAGAGGTAAGCTCCTATAAACCTTCGTCCCCATGTCAGGCTGTATTTCCTCCTTGCAATTATCTTATTATGTCAACCTCCACTACGGACTGAGATACGCCATTTGCTGACACTGGGAAATTGCTTAGATGGACGCAAGGAGCGTGTGCAGTTCGATAAAATCACAGCTCGTGTGTCTAGACTCTGTTATGGCCTAGATCCAGAGCATGTCGATGCCGCGGCTATCACCCAGAAGGTCATTTCTGGCGTCTACCAAGGAGTAACAACAGTCGAGTTGGACAACCTGGTCAGAACATCTCCCCAATCCCCCTTCCGACGTAATGCTAGAGAATGCGGTCTAACTTCATCTCTCTGATATATATAGGCGGCTGAAACTGCAGCGTATATGACCGTTACCCATCCAGACTACGCAATTCTAGCTGCCCGGATTGCTGTATCCAACCTTCACAAGCAAACCAAGAAGCAATTCTCGTCCGTGATAGATGATCTGTACCACTACCACAATCCCAAGAACAGACGTCCTGCCCCCATGATATCACAGAGTACGTACGAAATCGTAATGAGACATGCAGATGAGTTCAACTCAGCTATTGTTTACGATCGCGACTTCAACTACCAATACTTCGGATTCAAGACTCTGGAGAGGTCTTACCTGCTTAGAATCAATGGCAAGGTTGCAGAGCGCCCACAGCACATGATTATGCGTGTTGCTATTGGGATCCATGGAGATGATGTGGAGAGAGTCATTGAGACATATAACCTCATGTCGCAAAAGTACTTCACTCATGCCTCTCCTACCCTTTTCAACGCTGGTACTCCCCAGCCTCAGATGGCCTCGTGCTTCCTCATTGATATGAAGGAAGACAGCATCGAGGGTATTTATGACACCCTGAAAACTTGTGCTTTAATTTCAAAGACCGCTGGTGGTATTGGTCTTAACATTCACCGCATCCGTGGTACCGGTTCCTACATTGCTGGAACGAATGGCTCTTCAAACGGAATTGTTCCTATGCTCCGCGTTTTCAATAACACTGCCAGATACGTCGATCAGGGAGGTAACAAGCGCCCAGGAGCGTTTGCCATCTATCTTGAGCCATGGCATACTGATATTTTCGAATTCTTGGATCTCCGGAAAAACCACGGCAAGGAAGAAGTTCGTGCTCGTGATCTATTCCTTGCACTTTGGACACCTGATCTATTTATGAAACGCGTTGAGAAGAATGGTGAATGGACTCTGTTCTGTCCAAATGAAGCACCAGGCTTGGCGGATGTCTATGGTGATGAGTTTGAGGCTCTTTATGAGAAGTATGTTTGATCTAAGCGAATCTAGCCGTGCAATTAGAACTAATATGATTCGTGGTATAGATATGAAAAGGAAGGCAGAGGCAAGAAAACCATCAAGGCCCAGAAACTTTGGTATGCTATTCTCGAGGCTCAAACTGAGACTGGTAACCCCTTTATGCTCTACAAGGATGCTTGCAACAAGAAGAGCAACCAAAAGAACCTGGGGACTATTAGAAGCTCCAATCTATGCACTGAGATCATCGAGTACTGCTCACCTGATGAAGTTGCTGTTTGCAACTTGGCTTCCATTGCCTTACCTACCTTCGTGGATGCTGTACGTGGAGAATATGATTTTGGCAAGCTCCACGAAGTAACTCAAGTCGTCGTTCGCAACCTTAACAGAATCATCGACCGAAACTACTATCCAGTCGAGGAAGCCAAACGAAGCAACTTCCGCCATCGCCCAATTGCCTGCGGTGTTCAGGGCCTTGCTGATGCTTTCCTCGCTTTGCGACTTCCATTTGATTCCCCTGAAGCCAAGCTGTTGAATATTCAAATTTTTGAAACAATTTACCATGCCTGTTTGACTGCGTCCTGTGAGCTAGCTAAGGTTGACGGCCCATATTCCTCATATGAAGGTTCTCCAGTCTCCCAGGGCATCCTTCAGTATGATATGTGGGGTGTCACTCCCACCGATCTCTGGGATTGGGATTCTCTGAAACAGGAGATCGCTAAGCATGGAGTCCGCAATAGTTTGCTTGTTGCTCCCATGCCTACTGCCAGCACTAGCCAGATTCTTGGATTCAACGAATGCTTCGAACCTTACACCTCTAATATCTACTCGCGCCGTGTCCTTGCAGGCGAGTTCCAAATTGTCAACCCGTGGCTTTTGAAGGATCTGGTGGACTTGGGTCTCTGGTCCGACAACATGAAGAATCGAATTATTGCAGATGGAGGCTCTATCCAAAACATTCCCAATATCCCACAGGATATCAAAGCACTTTACAAAACCGTCTGGGAAATCTCTCAGCGAACCATTGTTCAGATGGCTGCCGATCGAGGTGCCTTCATCGACCAATCTCAATCTCTCAATATCCACTTGAAAGAGCCCACCATGGGTAAGATTACCAGCATGCACTTCACCGGCTGGAAACTCGGCTTGAAGACTGGCATGTATTATCTCCGTACAATGGCCGCGTCTGCTCCAATCCAGTTCACCGTGGATCAAGAACAGCTCAAGGTTGCGGACACCAACGTTGCTCGTGTCAATGGTGCTATGAAAAAACGTGCCGCTGTTTCCGCGAGCTATACTAGTGCCTACTCCTCTGTTCCTCGACCCATGTACGATAAAATCCAAGCCAACGACCAGACATCCTCTTCCAATATATTGGATGCGTCTGAATTGAGCTCGAGTTCCGTTTCTCCCGCGTCCGTCGTAGCTATCCCGAGTACCGAGGAAACCACGCCAGAAACCACCCAGCTTAATGGGACCAGCGAGTCTAAGAGTGAAAAAGCAATCACAGAAGAAAGTGAGGCGGATATCTATTCTCAGAAGGTTATTGCTTGTAAGTATTCTACCCTTTCCTTTTACGCACTATAAACCGATAACGCCCCGGCCCTCTTCCAATACGGAATACTGATGAATTTTACTCAACTACAGGCAGCATTGAGAATCCAGAGTCTTGTCTGATGTGCAGTGGTTAAAAGATATGGTCATTGGATATTACACTGTCAAGGCGTGAAATGGACGAAAGTACATGTCCAACGTCCGCATCTCACCTCCAACGACTGCAGCCCATCTGTCGATAAATATAGCATAGATTAGCACATGATCATCATCTGGATGTTGATTGATCAACATTCTCTTTTCCTTTCCATTCTTCCTGTTTAACCCGTTTCTAGTGTTCTCTTGGTTTTTGCCCGTGTTTTCCACTTATGTCATCGTCGTTGTAACGAGAGTATCCACGGTTATGTATGATTTTTTGCTTGTTTGCTACTTGCTTTTTGACGTCTCTTTTTAACAGTACCAGGTTTTGTATTTCTTTTTTCCCTTGTCTCCACCGATTGCCCCATTTTCACCCATGAATATTTTACGCATCGTTTCTTTTCTCTTTTTCCTTTTCCTTTTTGGGTTGTGTTTGATTCCAATATATTACGCAAAATAATTCCCATCCACATTCAGTTACCTGAGGCAACAGCTATTACCATAAATTATGTATTTCAAGTTTTTCCAGTATGCAGGCTTGTTTCTTATTAAGTAACGAAAAGTGATGGAGGTCATAGGCCCATTTAGGGGTCATACACAATTTGACAGCGCTCCCTTCCAAGAATCGATCTCCCCCTTGATTAACATCCTGGTTTGAGTTACTTCAACAACATTCTCCCTCAATCATCCTGTTATGTTGATTTTCGTTTCCTAGGTCGAACATATAATAATAATAATAATAATACTTCGCGCACTGCAAACCGTTGCTTGGCATCTGCCGGGGATTTGACGCTATTCTGTTGAAGATCATAATAACCCCCGTTGCAATCCAAGAATCCGAGAAGTAAATCAAAAATACTTGTGAGATTGTGAATAGTGTCTGCCCCGGGGGGTTGGGAATTGCATCTATCCGAATCCGTGGCGGGAGCGCGCGTAGAGCAAACATTCAGAGCCCCTTCCTTATCCTTTTGAGATGCTATTACGGCAAAATTAAAACAAGGAGCCACATCTGAAGGATGCTTAAAGAGCCAACTAACCATTCATTCTATCAACCTCCGTTTTGGATTAGCTCAGGAACCGTATTTGTGCAAATAGTCAACTGTTAGCTGGAAAGGGCCTGATGACCGTTTGGAGTTAAAAAGATAGGTAACTGTTGACGACGAGGTTGAAGAATAACTTGGTCGTAGTTGACTATATATTCTATACCGTAAGTTTTGCATCGGATTTAAAAGTTCAAATTTCAAGATGTAAAACGAGCAAACAGAGTGAAACGGAGGTAGTTGGGATATATCATTCTCAAGGTCGCCACTTTGATGAAGTTCGGTAAGCTAACTTCAACTAACTTATTAACTCCCGTCAAAAAGGTTCAGCCCAACAGAGCTTATCTGCATGACTAAGTGATTGCTTAAACCCTAGGCACACTTCCCTTTTGGGCATTCCGAGGGACTCATGACGGTCAAATGTATCAGATGCCAGGCAGTTTGGTGTAGAAAATGTTGGTAATTCCCCAAGGATCGGGTTGGTTTCTTATTCCAGTATTTCGTGGTCGTTGGAGCAAAGGGTGGTGGTGGTGTTCATTGTTGCCGACCGTCAATTATGACACCGAGGAAATTGAATGGGTGGGAAGTGGTAAAAACCGATAGCTGCCAAATAATGACGCTTGCGTGCATATAAGGATGCATTGTGACATGCTGAGCACCAAAGAGAAGGGCTTTTGAGAGCACCGTATCCAATATGGGCATATTTTGGGATGAAAGGAAGCCCTATGGCCTTCTCAAGAATTCAATTCACTTCCATTGTACATACATACATATAGGGATCCCATCTAGCCTTTGCATTAAAACAATTCTCGGCAACTATCCCTGGAAGATGCAAATTGCCGGGAGGAAACCGCAACAGCAACCGCAACGGTTGTTCATCACATAGAAAACCCAAATCAAACAACGGATCCAGAGAGCTGAGATGTCGTCTCCGATTTGTGAAGAAGCCTCGTATTACCTTGAAAAGGAAGACCTGATAAAGACCAGGCGGAGGTATCAAAACAGCGTGACCAAGCAGCCTTCCCTTTCTGCTTTTTGCGTCTCTCCCTCCCACTCTTTCTCTTTCCTTTCAACTCCTTCACTCATCGCGTGTGCAACGAGCAAAGTAAGTCACTCCGGCAGTTTGGTTCTTTACCAGTTTAATCAGTCTTTGCCGTTGTTTCAACTATCCTGTTAGCTGTGGAGAGGTAGGAGATAATGCGGTAAATATGACGATCACAGTATATCAAGGTAACGAGTCCATGTCGTTTCTCCTCATTCGACTTCAACTTCTCCAACCTCCTAGGTGTTCAAGTCAGTCTAAACAATTTTTCAAATCTCTCCATGAGAAGACGAAAAGAGATTTCAACCGAAATTCATTCAGAAAATAGTCTCTAAATAGATCTCACACAAAATCGCTTGACAGTGAATAAGCAAGTGAGACAGAAGGAAGTGCAAGAATGCCATCGTGTCCATGAGTGAGGGCTTACGATGATACCATGCATGTTGTCTGTTTTCCTGGGCTTTTATACTTTTAACCCGCCTCACTTAAGAAGAGAATGGAAAGAGAGAAAAAAAAAAAAAAAAAAAAAAAAAAAAAAGGTAAAGGGCAAAACAAGAGGTGTTTGCCAGCCATCTAGATCGTTGATGGGACTTTTATTTTTAGATACGACTAATCGAACCACCATGTAACATTGTGAACACGGCCGTCGCCGTTCGGTGCGCTGTGGCAAACGTTAGTGGATGATGTACAACTCAACTCATATACGAGCTTGATAAGGGAAAATATTGGGTCCAACTTACACAGTCAAGAACAGTAGTTCGGTCGCATCAATGGAATGACCATTCTATATGTCAGGATGAAAGATTAGGATTTTAGTTTCAATTATTCATGAATTTATGTCTTTTATATTTGGGCCAGAGAATTTGGGACGGACGGATTGGGGAAGGGGACTTACGCAGCCCATGCACTTGTCACCCACGGTAGCTTTATGTGAATGTTCCCCATGGGTGACAGTCACAGTCAGGCCGCAAAATGGGTTGTCGTTGCTTTGTACACCCATGAGCCCGGCCGGAAGAGCGACAACACTTTCATTCCGAGTGTTGACTACCAATCCGCATGAACCGAGACCACCGCCCCAGTGAGTCATGTCACCTATGCAGGGGTGTTGTTCTGTGCAGGGTTTTCTGCCTGGGGAAGAGGTGGTTTCGGGTTTTTTAGCGACGGGTTCAGCAGAAGGATAGGAGGCGGCAAGGCCGAGAGGAGAAGGAGCAGAGGCGTAGGTCTGTGAGGATGGGTCTGGTGGAGAAGGCTGAGTAGTTGTTGTAGCTGGCAGTTGTAATGAAGTAGACGTAGGTGCAGAACTTGGGCGGGATAGTTCGCAGGAGATAGCTGAAGGCACGCTGGATGCCGAAGCAGGATTGAGAGTGGAAGTTGAGACGGCGTTCACGTAGCAGGCAGAAGGGAGGGTTGTCGACGGCTCCCCTAGCACAACAGTGTCGGTGGCGGTGACCACGACGGTTTCCACAACCGTGACGGTCTCCCAAACTTCGACAAGGCTCATAGGGTGTGCAATGGAGACGGAGGCCAGGAGGCCAGCTGCAACGGCCAAGTACTTGAGGATTTGTTGTGGTGCCATTTTTTAACAGATAAGCGCTATCAAAGCGGGTATTTTCAATTTCTTGCCTGTTGAGGATTTGGATCAGGGCGATGTTCGAGTTCGATTTTCGAAGGGTCAGAGGACTAGCTCCGAGTAGCCAACAACAAAAGCGGAAGAAGAATATGTGCGATTTGATATTCGAAAGGATATAGGGATAGATAGTATTTGTTCAATGAATGGAATCCAGCCAGGCGATTCAGCGCATAGACAGATCAAGGGAGGGTACGCGAAGATCCAGCTGCTCTGCAGTCTTTTAAGGAGTGAGAATTGACCGCAAGAACAAGGGGAATCTTCGAAATCGGATCAAGGACAGTTCCGAAAGGAGGCGGATGTGTTGAGGTTAGCACTGCGCGCGCAGAGGGGCGTGAAGGCTATTTAAGATAAAAATAAAAGGAGGGAGGTGGGAAACCAGTTCTCCGACACAAGGAATGGATGCCGGAAGATGTCGATGGAGAATGGAGACGGCAGTGGAGCAGGTGAAGGAGAACAAGCACAAACAGCTCCACAGGGTCAGCTTAGTCACCCGCTTAGGATGCTGTTGCTTCTGCTCTGCGTATCCCGGCATAGCGGATAACCTGGAAGTATTTTAATCTTATCTATCCATGGATATAACTAGTTAGTTACCAAATACTAATAACACACTGGTGACAGCGAATGACGGCAACGGGAACAAGTCAACGACAGTTCAGGGCTGGATTTTACGGAGGAGTTGGAAGCGGAGGAGTTGGAAGTAGTCCCAATCGCCACGGCATTATATCTTTGACACATTGTGTGGGACCAGCGAAATTCGTGGCCAAATCACGACGAGACAGAAACAAAAAAATAGAAAAAGAAAAAATAAAAAAGGAATACTTCACTCGTATCCTTTTTTTTTTTTTTTTTTTGGAAATACTCACCGTCCTGAAACACCAACACACAACACACAACACACAACACACACACACACACACATCGCACGACACTCTGGCCGCCACACAGGGAAGAAACCCCTGAGATGGAAAATGCTTCTCGATCGAACGTTGGTTCCTGCATCTTGTTTATTTTAGGGTTTCGCCCAAAGTCGAACGGGGCCCCGGCGCCATTGGCTGCTGGCCCTGACCGGTTCCTGAAAATTGGGCTCCAAACCTTGGAAAGGGGCTGTTCGTTCATTAGCTTTGGTGGAGTGGCCCAGCCAATCACCTACGTCATCTGCAGGCTCCAAGGTTGCGCCAAGGTGCGCCTCTCCTTGCGGCTCTCCCATGGCCATTGGAGGCTCAGCCCGGGGCGTGACGGAGAGCGAGACGGTCTGCTGGGGATGCTGACTAACCGGAGTTGCTGGCCAGGGTCGCACTGACCCCCTCCCCCTTTGCCAGCCAGGGGGGGGCGCCTTACCTAATAGCCCTGAGTCCCGGCATCTGGAACCCCCCCCCCCCCCCCCCCCCTTGGCCCGCTGCGGCAGGACCACGCTTGCCGGCCTGCCTGCCTCCCTGCCTGCCTGCCTCCCTTGCCTGCCAGCCTGCCTGCCCGCCCCCCCCTTCAACCCTTCAACCCTTCAACCCTGCAAAACAAAGTTTCTATGCATCGCAAACTGTTTCGTCCTGGCTGGAAACCCTTTTGCTGTGTTGGCTCAGCTCTGCCCCATGACGTGGAGATTTCTTTTTTTCACTTCTGGTCGTGGATGCTGCTTGGATGGAACCCCCCAGGGCACTTGCTATTGTGGTTGACATCCCAAAGACAGACAGACCCCGATTTCCTTCTTTTCGGGAACCCCAGTGTCAGAGATCGATCCCCTGTGAAAAGTTGAAAGGTATCATCAACAAGGCTGCCATCCAAGGAATCAATTCTTCGTTGTTCTAGAATGTATTTTCCAATCCTCTTCCTGTTTCCAACCAACCGGAAGCAGAAGTCTATGTCCGCTGTAGTCAATTTTGCCCCAGTCGGGTCTTCTGTGATCTGCAATCAGGGTCTCCGTTGGGAACAAGTATCATGCTCCTCCTCCGTTCCCAAGGTCGTTGTTGTATCTTCAAACCGATGTTGATTGAAAAGAAAAACCGAGTTCAGGCTATATAGTATATTCAGGATCGAATCAAAAGTGTGCGTTTATTTTTATTTTTTTTTTCTTTCTCGGCTGGTGATCTTCCCCACCCCTCCCTTCCCCAACCATAACTACCCACCATCCAACAGTTCGCTTGCCCATCACGGGGATGTTTTTCACCATGTGGAAAAGTGCATATCCAATATGTAGCCCAATCGCGATATTCAGGTTCCACAGGCTACCTAAGAACACGGTGTAAAATAAAAACAAATAAAATACATAAATAAATAATAATAATAAAAAAAAAAAAAAAAAAAAAAAAAAAGGGCAGCGGGAATCCGAATCGTCAACGGTAAAATAGCATATAATTCAGTAGTAGCAGGATGATACCATACCAGCTGTTGAACCAATCTAAGTTTTCGCCATTGACGCTTCAGTATTCTCCTGTTCTCCGATTTCAAGAATAAGCTCTTCGAGAAAAGGGCACAGATCATACAAAGAAACAATTCACGTTTGACCTGACTTGACAAACACAGCGGATATAGCTAAATGTCGAAGAGTCCACACATCTCAGTCACGTCACATCGATTCAGCCGGCGTGTCAGGGGATTTGATTGAAACTAGTTATGGATACCCTGGGGTGATTAGGTGATACGCTTATCATCTACGCACATCATGCATTGGCCTTGGGGCATGGTGCCAAGGGCATCATTACCATGGGATAACCCGCCCCCCCCCCACCATTCCGACACCTGAAATGAGAATTTGACTTGACATTCAATGCAAGATTGCATTGTCATAACGTTACCTTGCGCTTGGTCGATGATGGGTTTTAAAACGGGCTCCAAAGAAGAAACATACTTCAAGGCAATGAGCGTTTCCTTTTCATCCCCCTTCCCCACCCCCCCCCCCCCCCCCTTTTTTTATTCCAGGTTTCATTTTGTGGTGTTTTCCGACCCCGCCACTCCGTCTTTAATGATTTTTTATGTGTCTCCG